TGGAACGGCTGCAGATCCCCTGCCTGTCCCTCTGCGCTCGGGTGGCACGGGGGGACGATGCAGCACGTGCACACGATGCAGAGCAGGACTCCAACGTACGAGTCTCGGGTTTTATTCATAACGCTCGACAGGTCTGAGTGACCTGACTGTCCATGTTGCAATGCTGATTGACTTCAGCACAGAGTGAAAACCCTCCTGTATTTCTAGTTGTATGTATACTTTCATTGGAATGAATTGTTCTTACTGAAAATTAACAACTTGATTTTAATAAAGTAAATTTTTAAGCTGACTTAAATGTCAAATTGTAAGGTATGAGAAACATTTGGGATGTAGATGTTTTTGAAAGTTAATTCGTGGCAGTGTTCTTAGGTTTCCTGTCCACCTAACAAATTCATAGGGTAGTAGATTGTTATTTTATTACAGCAACATTTTGGGTAATATGTTTTTGAGTTGCTGTAAGAAGAAAGTAAATATCGATGTTTTCTTTTCTCACAGCTCAGAAACTATTGCAAGATGCTGGTATATACTGCTTTCTGGATCTGTGCTCATGAAGGATTCCATGTTTTTACCACCTTGCAGGTATGTAAAGTCTTTGTTGTTATTTAAGGTAAGACAAGATCTTTTTTAAAATAAATGCTTTCTTGTATGTTGATGCTACTGTAAGCTTTTCACAATTTTAAAGTAATTTTTTTGTTGTTTTATTCTTCTGAAGTTCTGTAGTGGAAGAAATGTTCTGCTAATTTTGTTTAATTTCCATTGCACTTTTCCTACCTGTTGAAATTTCCATGTGAAATACTGCACTTCATGGTTTTTAATTCTCGTTTGATTTTTCAAGTTTTTAAGAGAATATGTAGCTAGCTTGTTGACTTGAGGGCGCTTTGGATAATTCCTGTTGTGTAACTGTTTTGTATAGCGTTCCCCATCTCAAAAAATACAACTGTAGATCACGCAGCTTCTGCCATTTGGTTGGAGGCTGTCTTTAATGGCAGATAGGGTTTTTATGCAAAGCAAGAAAACAGAGGCCGGCAGCGTGGGTTACAGAGAGCACATGACAGGCGTCTGGCTGCCTCTCATCGCTGCAGCACAGGAACGTCGTGACATGCTGTGACTGACGCGTGCTGTTTGACTCGAGCTGGACCTTGCTGCGCTCTGAGACTTGGCTAGACTTTGTACATCACTCAGAAATTTTACTTCGCTGTGTCTTGAAGCTGCGTGTTCCTTGTTTGTGTTCAAGCTGCACTTCTAGGCAAGGCAGGGGTGTTTTTTTTAAAAAAAAAAAAATAAAAAATCAGACTTGCCTTGGTACCCAGTTTAGATAGTTTTTAGTGAGATGAATAGAGGTGCTGCTGCCTCTTCTCAATTGAAAGGAAAGTTTTTCCCCTGCGTGGTGGTTCTGTGACGGACCCCGTCTCCCGTGGGCGCTGGGGCACTGGCTCACTGCCGCAGCGACTGCTGCCTTTGTGCTCGCCAGCGTGGGCTCCTCTCGCTCCTGCGCTGCCGCGTCCCTTCTAGCCAGAACGCAGCACGGTGGGGTTAGTAAAGAGTGGATGCCAACTTCGTGTACCTGTCTTTCCTTTCTTCATAAATCCACCTGTACGGAGGTGTCTGTGAAAACTGGATTAATCAGCAGCGCGTTCCTCAGCATGAGTTGACCGTGAGTTGATAGACTTAAAAATATCAGCCCCAGCTCAGATACATTTCCATATATTTGGATTTCATGGTGAGTGCTAATGAACGTGTAGGACATGAACACGCAGAACATGTAGGACTGGATTTTTCAACTCTGTTCTCGGTTAACTGTAGGCTGGATGTGAAACTCTTAATGCTCCTTGAATGATTAAGGTTGAGCAGTGCCAGAATTGAGGACATGGTGAGTTGATATTTGCATCAAACCTAGATAAAATGTTTTGTTAAACTTGAGGAAGAAGTCCCTTAAGCACATCATTAAGGTTTTCTGTGCTTTTGTGCTGGGGGGGCAGGCAAAACAGAGCTGTGTCTGCTAGTGCACAAGATTACAGCTAGTTTTATTACAGATAACGAGGAAAAATAGCTGTGAGATGGTGAAAGGGGCACTGAGCTCTGTTAGCTGAAGCTGCTGGCGGGTTGCAGTATGCATGGTGTGGTCCTGGGGTGTGTTGTCCCGTTATGTCATGAGATCACGTGGAAAGGAGGAGAAAGCACTCTGCTGCTGGGTAGCTGGGTTGTTCGCTCTCTGTCTTCATTGCAGTGGGGGGAGAAATGAAAAATTCAAATGTCAGAGGGGCTTTGGTGTGCTGCAGGCTTGAGGAGAAGTGCACACGTGTAAACAAAAATTGTTGTTAATTAGTTAAGGAGTTAAGAAGTGCAGAAGGATGCTGAAAATCTTTGGACCTTTGCGTTTTCCCCCAGTGCTTTTGGCTCTGGGGCCGCCCACTAGCTCCTTCTCCCTGTTGCTTCGTCCCGGGGCCCCTGGGGCCACGCACACGAGTGGGGAAGGAGCATCGCAGCTCGGGCACGAGAGCGGGGCGGGAGGTGGTCTGAATACCTCATACAACACTTCTGGTGAGGGAGCTGCACAGTCACCATTCATTTACAGAATATTTTCATATGAAACAGTGCCTTGGATAATTTAGTCGTGTTCTTTTAGAATTGAAATCAACACCACTTTATTTCCATTTAAAGTAATATTTAACGCTATTCATTATTCCGTGTCCCCAACCAAGTTTCTGGTTACGTGAGTCATTCTGAAAGGAGGCTTAAATGCAGGTCTGTGAGGAAAGGCGACACTGCCTTCGTTCTCATTGCCTCAGGTAGGAAACAAAAACAAGTTGGTTGTTTCTGTTTTTTTTTTTTTTTACTTAAGCTGTAACAGTGGAAATGACCCCCAGTATACTATTAGGTGTAAATCATCTTTGAAGTACAGTTTCTTTTATTTTTTGAAAACTTTTAATTCAACGTTGATAACATAGTAAAGATAATTACGTGAATTGATTGTTGGTTGTGGAGGGGATTTTTGTTGTTTATTTTGTTGGGTTTTTTGTTTGGTTCCCCCCCCCCCTTGCTCTAGTTTGATGTTGCGCTGTTCTTTTGACTTTTAAAAAATAATGCCTGACCGCCTTTGGAAATATTATTTACTGTAAGAGGAATAAAATAGTGTGGGTTTAAAAGAGGATATGAAGGGCATTTGTCCATTCAAAGAATTCACCTTTGTCTGGTGAAGAGCTTGATGCCGTGCTCTCTATGCCTGGTGAGCATACGATGCTGCACCTGTATGATGGTAGTGAAATAAACTTTATGGGAGAGGACGTTGTTTGGGATGCTGATTTATCCGTGGTTTTTTTATTTCCAGAGCAGGAAAGGGGTGGGCAAGTGTAGG